GCAACTATACAGAGCTTTGGCAATACTATGTAACTGAAGTCATGCTAATAAAGCTATTGAATTGAATTGAGTAAACATTTAAGTGAGCTGTCAGGAGGAAACAAAGGTTCGCCAACACATTGCACTTTAATGCTGAGCAAGGCTGTACAAAGACGTGAAACTGTCTGTGTATTTTTGAAGAATGCCAAGTAAAGGAAGAAAGTAATAACTCGCACTGAGTCTTAATACATTACTTTATTTCTATTATATAGAAACACTATCCAATGATTTATTATGTTTGTGTTACACACACACCATTACTGAATTAATTCTAAAACCAAGAATAACCTATACAACAATAGGGAGCCCTGGCTCAAGGACGGACAAAACAAGGACACCACACATGATTATTTTCCAATTACAGTATATTTATTTAAAGAGAGTAACTCAATTGTGATATCAGTTAATCAGTAATGTGTGTAGTGTACGGGTGTGTGATGTGTCAGGAGGGCCGGACTGGGACCATAGGTCAGGCCGGGAATTATACACCCAGCCAGGCCACTACCAGTTTTGTTTGGGGGCGTTTTGCTGGATGTATCGTCAATATTTACAACGTTGCTGCCCTTAGTGATAGCCCTACAGTTTGAATCTACTACTTAAATAGAAACATATGGACATAGGATATTGTTAAAAAAAAGTGTGCATATATATTTGGGAACCTTTCCATGTGAACATGTTTTATTTGGGGGTGGACCTCAAATGGATTAAACTGTGATCAATAACTATAGTAACTTATTGAGAGAACATGAACATAGCTTGCTTATACTGTTGTCATTACATTTCCTTTGTTTTGTTCAGTGTTTTCATAGACATAGCCTATTGAAACAGTTTCCTCTGTACCTGCCAGTTCTGTCCACTGAGCTCTGTCTGCATCTCTCCCTCAGGGTCATCACCATCAGCAGCATCTGATAGTGGAACTGAATAAGGAGAACATGTAATCATTACATTAACAACTATTTATGAAATAACATTATTCAAGAGCATTTATTATGCAACACTTATTTTATCACTTAGTTGACCCTGTATTTGCCTGGCCTAATACCATAATGATTGTCTCCCCTTTAGACAACATAACCATCTCAAGTTATTCACTCACAGTATGAGGGGTTTGTTGCCCCACAGTTAGCTGCAGTCTAACGGTTATATTACATATATTTGCCTTGAGTAACATTAAGGACATGTTTGGGTTTTGTGTAGCCTTATAGTCTCCAGTCACACAGGGCCTGCCACTAACTTAGCATTGGACTGAGAAACTGTTTTGTTGACAGTCGATGTGCACATCAGGCTACAATATAGAAAGAAATGTGGCTCATAATGTTCGCTCACTTACTTTCTGCTTCGTCATTCTATACCATACGGGGGGTTCTGAATAAATCAGTGATTTTAGCACATTTCGCTACCTTTTTTTGCAGGATGGGGGTCCATCCTTCCACAATAATTAACCTTGCCGTCAGTTTCAGTCGGTCCAGTCCACACTAATGTAAACTAGGGCTGTGCAATTAATCGTATTTTAATCGCAATTACGATTTTGGCCTGCCACAATTAGGAAAACAACATAATCGAAAAAAACAATTATTTAGCTTTGCTAGGTTGTGACTGCACTGCAACATATTTGATCTCATTAATTTTGGTCTCATTTATTTGTATTTATCATATTTATATATGTTTAGTAGCTTGGGGAAGTGCGCTCCAAAATATTTGTTGATCTTGTTTATTGGTATTTATTATTTTGATATTATTTATTTAAATGTATCATTTATTTTTGTATTGGTTTTTCAGTTGAATTATACGTTCAGGGTAATCAACAGTTAAGTTTTCAAAGTCAATGAATAATCGTATTTAATAATCGTGATATCAATTATTGACCCAAATAATCGTGATTATGATTTTTGCCATAATCGCACAGCCCTAATGTAAACAGCAGCGCGCTGGTCTCGTGAGAAACGGAGAGTGGAACAACCAATCACATCTTCATTATTCTCCCGAAATGTAAATGTGCCCATTCGCTAGTCTGACACATAGACTGTATGGTCTGGTCTGACAGGTGCGTGGTTCTCACTGCGCCTCATACCGGTGCAACTTTGAACACCTTCAATATATGCCGCATTGATTTGGCCTGCAGTCACCGCATCTGGGCTGAATTAAACACGTATTATTTTAGTCCTGTGTGTTTATTAGAGGCCATGTCAGCAGGCCACATCATATTATGCCAGCGTTGCGTTCACAAGACATACAAGCCACAAACTGGCAATCGAAACATGCTACAACCTGAGGGACAGTGAATGAATGAGACACACAGACACCACCCACAACACCTTGAGGGAGGGAGGGACAGCCTTGATCACCGTGCAGCCATCAGCTGTTCCCGACGAGAGAGAGAGAGAGACGAGCAGAGAGAGAGAGAGAGAGAGATAGAGAGAGATAGGAGAGAGCGAGAGAGAGAAGAGAGAGTAGAGAGAGAGTAGAGAGATAGATAGAGATAGAGAGAATAGAGATATAGATCTATCTATAGTCGAGGACTACTCGCTATACGCTGCATCCTCGCGAGAGAGCGAGAGGAGAGCGAGAGAGCGAGCGAGCTTCGCGAGAGTCTTCTCTCCCCGCGACACGCCCTTCTTGAGAACCTCCTAGACGCAACTCTTATTAATCCCCGTACCGGACAATTGTTATTTGTTCAAATCGGTAAAACGGATGTCAGTTCCGACCCTCATCACATCCCCAGCCACAGCCGTGGTCTTAACCGGTCTTGACATAAAATCTCGAGTCCTATAGGTTTGATACAGAGACAATACGAAACCAAATGCAGTCGATTCCGAGACCAATACCGTTAAAAAGTGGTCTGGAGACCGGTCTCGAGTACAACACCAGTAAATATTCTCATATTAATGATTATTAATTATTATTCCCCTCTCTTCTGATACCAATACTGTGCCGATGAGAAAGTGTAGGCTACCTGTAACACTCTCCAAACTACTGTAGGAGCGGAATCATTCGAAAAATATAATATAGGATAATGCTATACACAATGCTAATGGAGGCGAGACGTACGTTATTCACGCGCTTATCCACACGTACGTTATTCACACGCATATCCACACGTACGTTATCAACACGCATATCTAAGATAGTGCTTTCTAAGCTACGCCGCCGCTACGTGAGCGCGTACTTTGAGGGCATCTATGGTACGTCGCCGTGACGTCTGACGTCTGACATCGTCGTGATGTCGCCTGTATTCTACGTCAACCCATTCAAAATTGATGGAGGCGTTGGCGCACGTTGACACGTCAGTTCTCCGCTCAGTTAGCTTAGTTATCTGTTCTTTGGCACAAATCACACCTCATAGAGATCAGGGGGTCACAGGTTCAAACCCCACTGCAGTCAGCATGTCGTTGTGTCCCTGGGCAAGATACTTCACCCCAAAATTGCTCCTGTGGGGATTCTCCACAGTATTGAGTATGTAAGTCGCTTTGGATAACTAACATGTAATGTAATAAATATTGTATTGTTCATCCAATTGCCTCAATACCTTATGTTATCACACACACACACACACACACACACACACACACACACACACACACACACACACACACACACACACACACACACACACACACACACACACACACACACACACACACACACACACACACACACACACACACACACACACACACACCACACACACACACACACACACACACACACACACACACACACACACACACACACACACACACACACACACACACACACACACACACACACACACACACACACACACACACACACACACACACACACACACACTTCTCTTTCAATAAATGTTCATTGAGGAAAACAGTATCAGTGTCTTATTTTATATTCATCACAGTGAATGCTTAACTTGATGGGCCCACCGGTGGGTCCAGACCATGACATGAAACACTGGCTTGCTTGTATCAAATCAATACATCCCATACATCATTGGAACGGGAAGAATCTCAGCTACAACACTAACTAAAGCATTTCCATCTCCAGTAAACACAGCCTATATGGCAAGCATTGTTATAATATACAGTAATGTAAAATAAGCACTATCTTTGAACTTACTGCCAAAAATAATATGAAATTCACCCCTGGTGTCATTCTGTCCGTCACCCTTTGACTGTTCAAATGAGATGTCAACCATCAAAATTGGATAAGGGGTTCCAGAGATATCACTGTGCAAAACACGCTCAATTTTGACCGAAAATAGCATGGGAAGGGGGGTATGACCTAACGCAAGAGAAGGGTTAACTTCGACCCCCGGGGTGGCCTTACTATGGAGGAGTGGATTGAGCAGTGCCTATCTCCAGAGCTACTGGAAGCCGAATCTCGGGGACCGGAGAAAGTGGAGCAATATTCTCGCCACGCCAAGCAACAGCCTATACAACCTCAACCTATACAAGTAACCAAGTAAGCCATTCTACTGAAGCTGGACAGTTTTTCAGTGGGTGCACAATAAATGGCAACATACAAATTAATGTAAATAAATAGCCAAATTATCGATCAACGCTCTCTGTCTAATATGTTCGCTTGCTGTTAGTGTTGTTGCATAGCAACCACCTCGCACTATGTTTTGTGCAGAAGGCAACGGAGGGACTATTTTATTTTGAACATCATTATTTACTAATAAAAACTATTTAAATTAGAGTGTGTATTTTTCTTTCATATTGCCACACTTGGTAACCGTTTTATAAAAGCAATAGCTCACTTCAGGCCGTGATATATGCTCAGTATATCACAGTTTAGGGGCGTGGTTCGGCCCGACGCGTGAGCTATTGCTTAAATATACTAGAAGAATAATACATTTGAAGAGTACACCCTCACAAAATATAACTAACGAGAGGCTTCAACCATAATGAATCCCATTCAGATTGCTTAATAATGTGTAAGTACTTGATAGGAAATAATAAAGTATTTCATTGTTTGTTACACACCTGTTCTGTGCAGCTTTATCTGAGGCTTCAAAACGGTATCCAATAATCTGCGCTGACGACAAATCTCCTCCTCGTATGCTGATAAAGCTTGAGCAAAAACTTCCAATATTTCATCAGCAGCTGCAGCTAGTCGCTCGTTGATAACACTTCTCAGTTTCTCAACTGCAGCCATTTCTACTGTGTGAAATATATGGATGTATGAAGAGACAAAATAAACCAAACCAACTTTAGTTTTTCTCGTTGGCATGAACAACACAACTTCCGGTGGAATGTTCTTCTTCGTTGGTTTAGGGAGGCGTTCTGCACTGATAAAGTTACATTACCGCCACCTACTGGATTGACATTCAAAAATATATTGCCCAAATCTCCCACAATAACTAATAAGGGAAACAATAACATAAACAACATGTTCCCCAACACTTGTTCAGTGAGTTGCATGAATCACTTTTGGGTGAACCTTTTCTCACAAGTGTCACATTTGCAGTTATTCCTACAATAAACAGTATTTCATTGTATATTTAATTTAACATTGCATTACATGTTACTTGTTAGATGCTTTTATCCAAAGCGACTTACATACTCAATACTGTGGACAATCCCCACAGGTGCAATTTGGGGTGAAGTGTCTTGCCCAGGGACACAACAACATGCTGACTGTAGTGGGGTTTGAACCTGTGACCCCCTGATCCCAACACCAAGGATCTATCCACTGCGCCACACACCTCCATACATTCTGTTCTTGTATCTTATTCTATTTACATGTATATAGACTCCTAAATGTACTTAGTCACTTACAACACTCTCTGCATTATTTAGTTTATTGTATTTATTTATTGCTCTGACATGTATATATAGTTTACTTGATCGGCATTACTTGCACATTGGTCTTGCAACATAACCTTATTCTACTCAATTCTACTGTTTCTTTTTGCACTATTTTTAGTTTGTATTTGTATTTTTTGTATCTGTTTTATTGTGTTATGTCCTATATAACTATGTTACAATGTTGGGGGAGCTTGGGACTTCAGATTTTCAATGCCATTTTCTACACTGTAGCTACTATGCATATGAAAATAAAGCCTTTCAATTTTGAATCTTTGAATTTGAGATGCTTTTCCCCGGCAGAGGTGTAAAGTATATTTACTCAAGTACTGTAACATTTTTAGATACTTGCTCTTCTTGAGCATTTCCATTATTTGCTAGTTTGTACTTCTACTCCACAATTCAGAGACTAATCGTATACTTTTACTCCACTGCATTTATTTTATACCTTTAGTTATTTTACAGACTTGGATTAATGATGTGAAATATAATCAACACTTAAATAAGACTTTAGTTACACCTGGAGTAAATTCACAATCTACCCTGCACTAACAAAGTGATTAAAACTAGCTGCACCTTTACCAGCTTTGATAAACACTTTAATGCATCAATAACTATTATTAAAATATATAATATATATTATTCTGTAAGGGGAAATCTGCATAATAAGTGCTTTTACTTTTGTACTTTTACTTGAGTAACCTTTGAATGCAGGACTTTCACTTGTAACAGAATATTCCTACACTCTTGTACTTCTACTTTTACTGAAGTACACAATGAGTACTCCTCCCACCTCTGTAAACCGGTGTGGGACCTTGTGTAGATTTTTTTACTTTAAGAAATCATGAAACTCCTCATTTTAAACATTTGCTCTCTGGTTCCTGATCAGTACTGGTCTTCTTGTGAATTGCTCTTGCATGGCTTTCGACTCTGTGAGAGTTGTGAGAAAGGTAGTGGACACTTTGGTTGGGATGAATCTGGGCCCTTTCTGTCAGATTCAGATTGTAATATTATAACTGAGATGTTGGCTAGTGGCAGTGAATCTGTGCAAATTTAACATGTGAATTTTACTGAGGCCATTGTAACCTTGCTGTGCTATTTCAACATTCATTATAATAAAGGAAATGAGAAGGCTCTATTTAATAGCTATCATTAACATGATTCATATTTTTTAAGCCATTGCAAATACAATGTTTTAAATAAAATAAAAAACACATTACAAGGGTGGAAGGACTTTACATAGTAATGTGTGAACACTTCTTTATGGAAAACCTTAATCAGAAAAATAGATAAGAAGTTTTTAATTTAATTGATAGCCGTCAAATGAATGTACCGGCTTGGAAAGTATTCTCCTGTAAAATGAAAAGTAGAACTTGATGTTGCATGAAAGGAAAGCAATAAGATGCCATCTGAGAACCATTTCGTTTTTTATTTGAAACTGTTCAAGATCTTACTTGTGTTTCAAATGCAATCTCTTATTAGTATTACCAAAGTTCAATATGAGGCAACTCCGGTGATCAAACTAATCAACGTTTTTAAATAATATAATAACTTAAGCTCAAGCCCATGTGGCCATCATTTAAACACCTACTGTTTGTAACAACTTACATCCACTTACTTATTATGTCAGTCATACCAGCTGCCTGGATGACCCTCATTTGCTTATATCTTTAGCGTTTAGGGTGAATCTGGTATTCTTACAGGATGACCAAACAAAGCTTTATAGTTAGATACATACATTAGATCACACAGCATTAAGTGCACTGATCATTTCTATTCATTAAAGCACAATGTAGATTATTATTTCCAACTTCATCAAGTGTCACCTCAAAACCAAAATAGCAACCAAAAAAACAATTGAATGCCACTGCAAAATACAAAACAGAATGACATATTGCAATCATAAAAGTTACATTTGCAAGTTAATGGCAGTATTAAACATGTTAACATGTTGCATTGCTCAGTCCCAGAGGTAGCTGCCTGGTGAACATTCATCCAGATGAAAAGTGCTGCATTTATGTGCCTTGTCACTTGTGTGGGTACATAAGTACATAAGTTGTGTGGACTTTCATATGCCTTTTTAATGTTGACATGACAGTGAAGCTTTTCCTGCAGGTCATGCAAACATACGGTTTCTCACCTGTGTGGACTCTCATGTGCCTTTTTAATGCTGACATCTCATTGAAGCTTTTCTCGCAGGTCATGCAAACATACGGTTTCTCACCTGTGTGGATTCTCATGTGCCTCTTAAAGTTACTGTCATATCTGAATTTTTTTTCACATGTTTTGCAAGTAAATTTCTTTTCATCCGTGTGGGTGGTCATGTGTCTTCGCAATTTTGACATGTCCTTAAAATCTTTCCCACAAGTTTCACATTTTAAATTATTGTTCACTGTGCAAGTATTACGTTGCATGTCTGACAAGTTAGCGTTGTTTACCTTGTTCCTTTTGGTTTTGCGATGTCTTTTGTTTATTTCTGGATCTGCAGTTCTTGTTAACCCTGCGTCATTAGAATTGTGAGAGATGAGCTGCAGATTACTTTGTGCTTCTGATACCACAACGCTTATAACTGGCATGTTGCCTACAGACTCTTTTGCACAAGTCTGACCGCTGTGCACACTCTCCTCATCAGTAACAGTCACCATGAAGACATCAGTCTCCTGCTTTAGTTCAAGCTGCTCTTCCTCCTGACTGGTGCAAAGTTCCTCCTGTTCCTCTTTAATCTGTGGAGGCTCTGGGTCCTCTTGGTCCAGACTGGAGTTCCTTTCCTGACTACAGAGCTGCTGGTCAGTGAGAACCTCATCCTCATTCCAGACATGTTGCTGAGGGAGCTCTGGAGGGACAGAAAATAAACAAAAGTACTGTTAGTGTGGTGTTAGGGAAGCAAATTGTATTCAATGCTGGGCAATGTTAGGGTAAGCGGTTAGGGTCGTAAACAGAAAATAGCTAACGAGAGGCTTTAACTATAATGAATCCCATTCAGATTGTTTTATAATTTGTAAGAACTTGCTAGGAAACTAGAAAATTCAGAGAAATGTTGACTGTGTGACTGAAACTTGGGTGCGCATCCCGATGCTAACATTACCCCCGCTGAGTAAGTATTAATAGCATTAGTTGTATTGTTAAACAGGTACAACAAAGAATATCCATTAATTTTAGCTCACTTTTAGCTGACTTTTTTAACTGTTTATCTATTACATTTTTGGATTCTTGTACCACATTCCTGCATCGTTCCTGAACATCTTTAGATTACCACTGGATTTAGTTAACGACCGACAGGTGTGTTCAAAGATCAAAGCATTTCCACGGCGTGTTTGCTATATGTGTAAGCCGTTTTATTAAATTAGCATATCGGTGCGGCCGGGACATATATCCCTACATTATGATCACCAAAGTATGAAGAGTGAAAATTGTGGCCAGCCAAGCAATAGTTGGAAAAAAAACTCAGAATATTTTCCAGCTCCTCTCCCCTTTAGCCGTGATGTCACCACTCTAAGTCTTAACAAGCTCTCCCATACACACCCATTATAAAATGTGAAACAGTGTGAAATGTCCACAAAACATAAGCTGCGACTACATGAGAACCGTACTAGCTATCAAATATATCCAAATAGTCTAATAAAGTCCATAGTCTCGAGAACCGTTTCAACTTGGAATTGTTTTACTACGTTAAAGTATGCGGAATCTGTATGGGGTCAAAGGAGTGTTTTTGAGCTCTGTTCAAATGTATTTCCCATTCATTTCTATGGAGCAAATGATCGCAGTTTTCTGCGAATTTGCGTGAAAACGGCTAGGCGAATCTCTTATAAAAGACATAGCAACCCGATCCCGGTCATTCCGCACATTTTGAAGTGTTTTGAAGTGTGTTTAGTGTCAACGCTGCCGGACGAGTAGCATGACAACATTTGTGGCGGAAGAAGGAGAATAAGATGAGATAAGTATGTTGAATACTATACTGTGTGTGGCTTCGCCAGTCACACAGAATAAGAAAGTATTTTATTGTTTGTTACACACCTGTTCTGTACAGCTTTATCTGGGGCTTGCCTACAGACTCTTTTGCACAAGTCTGACCGCTGTGCACACTTTCCTCATCAGTAAGAGTCACCATGAAGACATCTGTCTCCTGCTTTAGTTCAAGCTGCTCTTCCTCCTGACTGGTGCAAAGTTCCTCCTGTTCCTCTTTAATCTGTGGAGGCTCTGGGTCCTCTTGGTCCAGACTGGAGTTCCTTTCCTGACTACAGAGCTGCTGGTCACTGAGAACCTCATCCTCATTCCAGACATGTTGCTGAGGGAGCTCTGGAGGGACAGAAAATAAACAAAGTGCTGTTAGTGTGGTGTTAGGGAAGCAAATTGCATTCAATGCTGGGCAATGGTGTTAAGATCAATATCAACAAATCAAAAAAACAACAAACAAGACTACAGAAATGCATTATGCATAACATTTATAAATAGATTTGATCAAATACAAATAAAAAATATTAGGCCACCAACTTTTTTAAACTATAACATATTCTAACAATGTGTATTTTAACTGCTGTGCTTTGTGTATTTGTGATCTGTTGTTGGAGATCTGAATGTGAATGAATAAACAGAAAATAGCTAACGAGAGGCTTTAACCATAATGAATCCCATTCAGATTGTTTTATAATTTGTAAGTGTCAGGGAATAACTCTGTATACATGTTTACCTTTTGCCCTCTGACGCAGATGCCCAACCTTGGGCAGCCGCTATCTCCCTTAAGGAAGGGCTGCCCAAGCATTTTGTTGTTGTTACCAGTTTATGACCGGGCAACTTCGGTAAGAGATAGTTATTGTTGTTATTTTATTTGTTACACACCTGTTCTGTGCAGCTTTATCTGGGGCTTGCCTACAGACTCTTTTGCACAAGTTTGACAGCTGTGCACACTTTCCTCATCAGTAACAGTCACCATGAAGACATCAGTCTCCTGCTTTAGTTCAAGCTGCTCTTCCTCCTGACGGGTGCAAAGTTCCTCCTGTTCCTCTTTAATCTGTGGAGGCTCTGGGTCCTCTTGGTCCAGACTGGAGTTCCTTTCCTGACTACAGAGCTGCTGGTCACTGAGAACCTCATCCTCATTACAGACATGTTGCTGAGGGAGCTCTGGAGGGACAGAAAATAAACAAAGTGCTGTTAGTGTGGTGTTAGTCCTCATCCTGTCTCATTCAGGATCGAATACAAGATCGCACTACTGACCCATCAATGCATCCACGGGAACGCTCCTCCATACCTGAAGGAACTTCTCACATCACAAACCTCCACACGCAACCTCCGCTCCACTACCAACCATCGGCTTCGCCCCCCGAGGACCAAACTCCGCACAATGGGGGATCGGGCTTTCTGTGCAGCTGCTCCTCGCCTTTTTCTCGTTGGCATGAACTACACAACTTCCGGTGAAATGTTCTTCTTCGTTGGTTTAGGGAGTCGTTCTGCACTGATAAAGTTACATTACCGCTGTCACTGTCATAGATATATATAAACTGTCATAGATATATATATAAACACACATATAACACAACATGTTTATATATATATCTATGGTCACTGTCGCCACCTTCTTCTTCTTCTCTCGTTTTTGGCGGATTGCAAACAACTTAAAAGGTGCATACCGCCACCTACTGTACATGAGTATGAATCATCATATCATTCCATCTCTAACCTATGATCTAATCAAAAAATAAAAATAAATCAATAAATCAACAAAAACATGAAATAAATAAAACAAAAATAAAAATCTATGATCTTTCCTGACCTAATGTTAAATTATTTTTCCTACCCCAGTTTCACTCAAGAAGGTAAACAGTGCCTTTCTAGTAGCTCTTACTCCCTCTCCTTTTGTTCCCAAAACACCAACTCCATTCCCTCTCTGCCTCTAAAACTTTAGCCTTTAGTTTTTCTCTTTCCGCTTTATAGATGTCACAATGTAACAAGATATGTTCTACATCTTCTTTTACTCCACAGTTCCCACACTTGTCACTGTCACTTTTCCCCATGACATACAGCGTACCATTCAAAGCCGTGGGATTTATTCTGAGTCTAGCTATCGTGATTTCCTCCCTTCTGTTTCTTTCTTTATAAATATTAATTGTAATTGTCTTTTGCACTTGATGATACTCTTTGCCTTTCTGGTCTTTCTCCCACCTTTTCTGCCAGATCTCCATCCCTTTTTTATTAATTACTGCTTTTCCTTCTCCTTTACCAAGTTGAACTGGTAATGTTATTTCCTTTTGTAGTGCACATTTTGCTAATTTATCAGCACACTCGTTCCCTTTCACCCCCTCATGAGCAGGCACCCAGCAGAACTGAAGAGCTATACCGCCTCTGTGAAGTCTTAACAGGCTATGATTCAGTTCTATGAGAATGTCTTCTCTGGCAGTTGTTGTTGACCGTATGCTTTTTAATATGGACAATGAATCTGTGCATATCACCACCCTATCTGGTCTGACCTCTTCAACCCACTGTAATCCTATTATTACAGCAAGCATTTCTGCTGTGTACACTGATAATTGATCAGACGCTCTTTTTGAAATCGATATTTTAAAGTCTGGGATGTATATACCAACTCCAACACACTCTTCCTTGTTCTTAGAACCATCTGTGTACATTTGTAGGTAATTGTAGTACTTTTCGTTCAGATACATACTTGTTGATTCGTGTTCACCAACACGATTTTCACATTTTTTTCGTGTCACACAGAACGATTTTAAATGCAATGTATTTCTATTGGTAGTATGTTTCGTGCCTGCAACACATCTTTTTGTCCGGTCGGGTCTTGGAAGACCAGAAGCTGTGTGGTTCATAAAAACATGTTCTTACTCAATGTCTTACCCTAAGCCTAACCCTATCCCTTTTATTTTAAATTGTATAATGTCTGAGTTTTTGTGCCATCAGTGAGGAAAAGAAATGGGGCTCAGAGCCTCAGAATACTGAAATCTGTATTTTATGTCATCTTTTTTTCCTTCTAATTTGTTATTATTTGGTGCAGGCACGAAACATACTACCAATATAAATACATTGCTTCTAAAATCGTTCTGTGTCAGAATACTTAAATCTGTATTTTTTTTAAATGTCTTTTTCCTTCTAATTGTTATTATTTACATTGCTTTTAAAATCGTTCTGTGTGACACGAAAAAAATGGCGAAATTGTGTTGGTGAACACGAATCAATAGATTAATTTCGTGACTATAACACGAAATGCCGTGAGACTGGGTTGAATACTCATATCTATTTTAGCTTCTGGGAAAAGCCATGGAGGAACACTACTAAAAGGGGTTGCTTTGGCAAACGTGATGGTCTCCACTCCATATGCCCTCGTTCTTTCCTTACTTGTCCAGCCAAACCCACGGCGACGCCCCTGGAACTTTGCATATTCCCAGCAATCCTGTAATATTCTGTTTGTAATATTTTCTTCTCCACTTCCTTGTAGTCTGACCCAGTATGACAGAGCAAGTTTCTCTCTTCTGATCTCCAGAGGTGTTTCTCCTGCTTCTATCAGAACTGCATTGATAGGGGATGACTTTATCGCTCCAATACATAGCCGCAATGCTTTATATTGTATTCTATCAATTTTTAAAAGCGATGTTTTTGCTGCTGCTCCATATACAACCATAGTCTATTGTGGACCTCATAATTGATCTGTAAATGTCTATTAATGCTTGTTTGTCTGCGCCCCAGTTGCATCCAGCTACAGCTTGCAATAAATGTAATACTTTTTTGCATTTTGTTTCCACTTGATTAATATGCATTGTCCATTTATATTTGCTATCAAACCACAGTCCTAGGTATTTGAACTCATTCACCTTTGTCATTGGACGATCATATAGTCAGGGGTGCACATAACTGGTACGCAGGTACTAGTGATGGGAATTATGGCTCTTTGAAGGGAGCCGGATCTTATGGCTCCGTTCCTTTCAAAGAGCCGTTCAAAAGAGCCGTTCAAAAGAGCCGTTTTTTTAAAAAGGGGGCGGGGTTACTAGGTTTATCTGCGAAATAATCACCAGGATAATGATTGACTGCATTGCCAGACCTAATGTCAATAATCTGCATTGTAAACATGACACAAGGTGGCGCCATATCCATGTCATTCATGTCAGTGAATGTACTTTGAATTTACCCTCTGCATGTGTTAAGTAAATAAAGTTGCCTTGCCTTGAATGAAATTCACGCAACTCTTAATATTAGTAGTGTGTTTTTAAGTGGCGATGGAGATTATTTGTTGACCCTGCTTTAAAGGATATTTTGCCTTTACAAATGGTGCGCTTTATCACTGCCTGGGTTTTGGTTGAAGTGCATCCAAATGCTGCTGCGTTTTCGCGTTTGGCTCATTTTACATCCGAAAAACACGTCGTCTATCTGTCCAGTACCACTTGTTATGACTTCTCTCTCTCGCGTATTCCGTTAAGACCCACCCCACCTAACTCCTCGTGCTGAAACCTACAAATCAGAGTAGGGGCGGGTCTTCACAGAATACGTTTGGGGAACAAAATCAAGCTTTTTAAAAGGCGAGTGAATTTTGGCAGGCAGTGAGTGCGGACCAACTTTGATTGAACGATAAGAAGAACGGCTCTCACCAAGTACGACTCGGTTCCCCTCGTTCGTACCAAAGAGCCGTTCAAAAGAATCGGCTCGTTCGCGACCGACACATCACTAGCAGGTACGCATGCGCGGCAACAATCTGAAATGCGTAACGTCACTTGTGTCACAACGCGCCTTTGCGTACCTGATAGGTCATCAAAACAAAACACATATTTCGCCTACACATGTTTCTTGTCAATACTCAGTGGAGTAAATTATTAGACATGTCCAAAAAAAACAAAGACATTAAGCAGCCACTTTGCCGTTTCGCTCCCTGCTAAAATCTTCAGACTTTCTATGACTGATTGAACTGGGTGCTGGCCGTGCCGCGCAGGGCATAACCGACGGACCTGTGAAGCTTCACAGGAGGCAGAGGCTTAGATCACTGGACGACAGAGTTGGTCGCCGTGTGCACAGACGGAGCTGCTGTTAACGTCGGTGTGTACAACAGAATTGTACCAAAACTACGTCAACTGGCTGCGGTGGGAGACTCCCCTGTGCACATTCTGTGCCCCGCGCACACACTGGAGAACTGCGCAAAATCAGCTGATCACAACGTTCACGCTCTGTGGTCAAGCTGCTGCAGTTTTATTTACAACAAAGTGGAGTAAAACACACAGCTGCAAACTTACTCAGGCTGTTAATGGAAGAGTTTGAAATCAGACAGAGGTGGAAGAAGTGTTACTCAAGTAAAATTAGAAAAGTATTATCATCAAAATCTAGTTAAAGTAGCGACAGTAAAAGTAGTCATTTTGCAGATTGGTCCATTTCATAATAATGTATATGATATGTTTTATAATTATTGATCATTAAAGTGTTTAAAAATTAGTTTGAATGACTTTGTATACTGCAGGGTAGCTTGTGGATTTACTCCAGGTGGAACTAAAGTCTGATTTAACACTTGATTATATTTTCACATCATTCATCCACATCTGTAAAGTAACTAAAGGTATTAAATAAATGTAGTGGAAGAAAAATACATGATTTACCTCTGAACTGTAGTGGAGTAGAAGTACAAAGTAGCATAAAATAGAAATACTCAAGTAAACTACAAGTATCTTAAATTGTACCTAAGTACAGTACTTGAATAAGTGTACTTTGTTACTTCCCACCTCTGAAATCAGATATGACTTCAAGTCATGTGATAATTTCTTAGTATTTGATCCTTCAACTTGGCCTCAGGAAATGCAAGGACTTCACAGTTTTGGCAACAAGTTTTGGAGAAAGCAAATTGGAGGCTTACAAAGAGACAGGGAGGTGCATCTTCATCATCTTCA